CCCCAAAACCCCAAAACCCCAAAACCCCTCAATTAAAATATTTTATACAAAATTTGGTAAGTTATAATTTATATTTTAAAAATCAAAATGAATGAGTTGTCAGAAAAGTTAACACAGATGAAATCCTTTCTAATGAATCAAGATAGAACGATTTATAGTGAAATAGACAACAATCATATAACTTCTCGAATCAATAGAATGAGAGATAGCTTGAGCTAAACTGGGACTAATATTTTATCAAGATAAGATATTGCGAAGTAGAAGGAGTTGACCATTGATAAAACAAACTTACTATAGTAGCAAAATCAGCAATAATTTCATTCTATACATAACAGCTGACAACCTAATCTCAGTCTATTGAATTCAACAACTCTATCACATTAGTTTAACCCCCTAGATAAACTTCAAAGCACAAACTATAAGACCTAAGATAAATGGGCTGATAACTTGTAAGAAATTAAGCTTCAATAAGAAAAATTAAAGAGTTGATTATTGGGAAATCAGTAGCTTAGTCCTATTTCTTATGCTGGCAAAGAAATATCTAGAACTGTGCAATACAGTAAAAACTAAGATGATGATGATGAATTCAGTTACCACGAGAAACCGATTAAAATATAGGATTTGCTTAATAATGAAAAGAGAATAAACTTGCCCTAAGTGTAAAATAAAGAAGAATTAGGACAGAAAAATGAAAAAAATTCTTCTTATATATCCTAAAAAGAAGTAATAAGTACAGCTTTTTCTGATATATAGAGTAATTAATTAGGAATGTTAGAATCATAAGATACTTAGAATGCAGTTCCTAATGGTGATTTATACGTGAGATTACCTCCTAACATTAGTAAAGTGTAATAATATAGAAGTATTGTGGAGTAAGCTTAGCAGCAGCAGTTACTTAAGGAAAATTAAGAAGTGTCGAACTTTACTAGATTACCTAAGATTATATAGAGAAACGTATAGGAGTTTAAAACTGATATTAAGAATGACATACCCACAAAGAGTCTTAGAAATAAAGATCATTAAAGTAGAAATTATGAAACAGATCAAATTCAAAGCTAGAGAGGATATTCGAGAGAGGATTTAAAAACAGCTAGAAGCAATCTCAGAATACTTAAAAGAAGAATGTCTACTAAAAGCCTAAATCAAAGTATGTATGCTGGAGGAAAAGTTGCTAATGAAAAAAATTAGAGAGATTAAGGAAATAGTAATAAGAAACTTAATAAGACATTTTAAAATTAGAAATCTTAATCCAGAAATAGCATGATGAGTTAAAATGAATTTTAGGATAATGATTATTAAGAAAGTAGTAGTTAGACTAAAAAGATAGTATCCAGCAACAAATAGAAAACTGCTTAACCTATCAAAAAACCTTAATAATAGCAGAATCATTAGCTCTCACAGGACAGTCAGTACCTCGAGAGTGATGAGGATCAAAATTCAACGATAGACTTTGAAGAATTTAAAAGACAAGAATTATTGAAGTTGCAATATATCAGGCAAAGAGATAAGAAAGTCCTTAAAAAGCATGGAGTTGTAAGGAAGCCTTAACTAACAGCATACAGAGTACCCTAGGAAGAAAAGACTAGAAATCTGAAGGAATCTGTGAAATTGAGTCTGTCTGCAACTAACAATAAAAGTCCATAAAATACTTCTTAAAATCTAGATTCAATCAACAATATGATTCTTAATGGCGGGATTAAATTACCTAGACTAGGAGCCTAACTGATAGAGAAAATAGATTCTAGATAATCTCTTAATTAATCTTTGAATTAAAACCTGAGCACTTAGTAAACATCTTATAGGAGAGTTAACGTTTCATCTGCTAACTATAATAATGGACTCCAAGTCACTTAATATTCTAAAATAATTAAAGATAGACCATTCAAGATACAAAGAATAATTCAAGACAAGAACCTTCTTCAACTGCATAAGTAGAGGATTAATCAATCAAGTAGCAGAGATATCATAGATGAGTAAAAGCATCAAGATTATAATGATTCTTAATAATAGAGTCCTCAAAAGTAATAGATCAGCAAAGAAGTAACGAATGGATAAAGAAGAGTACTAAATCAGTCAAGGTTAAAAGCCTTGACTGAGGAATCAAATTAAGGGTTCTCTCAGTATGATTTGAAATCTATTATTGGTCCATCTAGAACAGAGAATTACTCTAAACTTGATAGCCCTGAAAAGTCTAATTAAAAAAATGGCAAGCAATACTCTTAGTATGATTTAGATAAGATTCAAGAAGATGAATATGCAGGTGATTCAAATCAAATTGGTGATAGAATTGAGTGCCCCAGTTGTCAAAGAAAGTTTATTTAAGAGGCCTATGAGAAACATATAAAAGTGTGTTAAAAGGTGTTTATGAAAAAGAGGAAGGTATTCAATGCTCGCAAGTAAAGATAAAATCAAGATGATTCTCCCCATGATAAATATAAGCAACCCTCAAGTCATCAATCTCAGAATATAGATCATAATCAAAGGCAATTACCATTAACTTTTGAAAATAAGAAACTCTAAAATAAAGCTAAGCAAGGAGTGTCAAATAAAAGATAATAATAGAACTATGATGAGTCACAAGATGGGCATCAAGATATTACTTAAAGGGCTGGAAATGTACAAAGTAAAAAGAGTGGGAAGTGGAAATACCAGAGTGAAACATTTAGGAGAAATCTCAAAGCAGCCAGAGGAGTAGATGTAAATAATGAATTCGATAAGTCTACCAACTTCCGAGGTGTTCATAACTAATACTCAGAAGAAGCTGATGATAGAATCCTATGCTAATACTGCAGTAGAAAATTCAATTAAAATGCTGCAGATAGACACATTCCAGTCTGTCAGTAGAAATACAAGTAAGATTTAATCAAGAATAGAGACAATAATGCTAAGAGTAGAAGCAAAAGTAGAGGTAATGCCTACGGCGCCTAAGTAAGGCAATCCAACCTCAAATCTAATAATAGCAACTATAGAAGTAACTAGAGTAATCAAAGATCAAGGTCAAATTTAAGAAGTTAAAAATATTGAATGCAAAGTGAAGAATAAAAGAGATTTCTATATTTGGACAAGATATTCATTGAATTAATTATTCTTAATTTCATGATTTGATTTTTATGCCACTTGCTAGGGGGTTTTGGGGTTTTGGGG